TCTTCCTAATATCTAACCTAAACTTCCCTTGCCGCAACTTGAGACCATTGCTCCTTGTTCTGTCATCTGCCGCCACTGAGAACAGTCCAGCTCCATCCTCTTTTGAACCTCCCTTCAGGTAGTTGAAGGCTGCTATTAAGTCCCCTCTCAGTCTTCTCTTCTGTAAACTAAATAAGCCCAGTTCCCTCAGTCTTTCCTCATAAGTCGTGTGTCCCAGCCCTCTCACCACTTTTGTTGCCCTCCACTGGACTCTCTTCAATTTGTCCACCTCCTTTTTGTAGTGGGGGGCCCAAAACTGAACACAGGACTCCACATGTGTCTCACCAGTGCTGAATAGAGGGGAATAATCACTTCCCTTGACCTAGTGGCAGCACACCTACCAGTGTAGCCCAGTATGCCACTAGTCTTCTTGGCAACAAGGGCACACTGCTGGCTCATGTTCAGCTTATTTGTCCACTGTAACCCCCGGGTCCTTTGCTACACAGCTGCTGCCCAGACAGTTAGTCCCCAGCCTGTACTGGCGCATGGGATTGTTCTGTCCTAAGTGCAGGACTTTGCTCTTGTTCTTGTTGAAGCTCGAGAGATTCCTTTTGGCCCAATTTTCCAGTATGTCTAAGTCACTCTGAATCCTAGCCCTACCCTCCAGTTGTTTGCTACTATTCCCCTGGTGACAGCTTGGTGTCATCTGAAGACTTGCTGAGAGTGCACTCTATGCCATCTTCCAGGTTGTTGATGAAGACATCGAACAAAACTGGCCCCAGGATCAACATCTGGAGTATTCCACTTGATACTAGCTGTCAACTAGACATCAAACCTTTGATTATTACTCTCTGAGCCCCAGGTTTTAGCCAGTTTTCAGGTCACCTTACAGTCCATTCATCCAGCCCAGACTTCCTTAGCTTGCCTGCGAGAATGTTGTGGAAGATTGTATCAAAAGCCTTGCTAAAATCAAGGTACACCACATCCACAGAGCCAGTCACCTCAGCATAGAAGGCATCGGGTTGGTCAAGCATGACTTGCCCCTGGTGAATCCATGCTGACTATTCCGAATTGCCTTGTTCCCCTCCAAGTGCTTAGAAATGGATTTCTTGAGATTCTGCTCCATGATTTTTCCAGGGACTGAGGTGAGGCTCACTGGTCTGTAATTCCCTGGATCCTCCTTCATCCCTTTCTTAAATATGGGCACTATGTTTGCCTTTTCCAATCAACCAGGACCTCTCCTGATCATCATGAGTTTTCAAAGTTGATGGCCAATGGCTCTGCAGTCGTATCAGCCAACTCCTTCAGCACCCTGTGGTGCATGGTATCTGACCCCAAGGACTTGTACACATCCAGCTTTTCTAAGTAGGCCCTAACCTGTTCTTTCACCACTGGGGGCTGCTCACCTCCTCCTCAAACTGTGCGGCCCAGTGCAGTAGTCTGGGAGCTGACCTTACCTGTGAAGACTGAGGCAAAAAAGGCATTGAGCCCTTCAGCTTTTTCTGTCACAAGGTTACCTCCCCCATTCAGTAAAAGACCCACACTTTCCCCAATTCTCTTCTTGCTACCAACATACTTGTAGAAACCCTTCTTGTTACCCTTCACATCCCTTGCTCGCTGCAACTCAAATTGCACTTTGGCCTTCCTGACTTCATCCCTGCACGTCCAAGCAGTGCTCTTATATTCTTCCCTAGTTAATTGTCCAAGTTTCCACTTCTTATATGCTTCCCTTTTGTGATTTAGTTTACTGAAGAGTTCGCTGCTAAGCCAAGCTGGTCTTCTGCTATACTTGCTAGTCTTCCTGAGCACTGGGATAGTTTGTTCCTGCACTCTCAATAAGGCTCCTTTGAAGTACAGCTGACTCTCCTGGACTCCTGTCCCCCACAGTCTGGCCATCCCCCCTCGGTCTCCTCTCCCCCTCAGGCTGGTAGCACTTGTAAGTGTTAGAAGTACAATTTTAAGGAGAAATTGCTGTGTGGGTCCCTGGTCATTTCTCACTGGCAGTAGTGTGCATAATACACAGGCAGCAAATGCACCCTCTATGTGGCAGACTCCAGTTATAGGGTAAGCTTATGAAAGCAATCGTCTCATTTTTTTTCAGTCAGCACATTTGCAAGGAAGATTTTCAGAAATGAATGCTCGGTTTGCTCGTTCAAGATTGTTCTCCTTCATAAAGGGGAGCACTAGGGGGGAGGTTTGGGTTTTTTTCTTTTTGTTTTTAAAAAAATAAACAGAAAAAAAACTTGAGGGAAATGCTTGATAGAAATAGTTTCATAGTTTTATAGTTTCTAGGGTCAGAAGGGAC